ACAGCACTACATGTTGTGTCGACCAGCCCTATACATTGTGTACACCAGCCCAAGTTATTCTGCTGCTCCCGAGCAGTGGCACCATGCAACCCAGCATTCCCAGATCACCTGGGGAAGATGCTAAAGCACTATTCTGGGATACTGCAGCACACACCGCCTCAAGTCTGCATCCCAGTATCATCTACTATGAAATTTATCTGGGGGGTGTGTGTGTCACAGTATCATTCCCAATGACTCCTTATGCTATCAGATGGCTTGGAATACACATGTCCCACATGCCCAGCGGATTCAGCCAGCCAGCCATTCAATACTACTTGTCTACAAAAAAGTAGAACACTCACTTCCAAAGTCCAGCATAATGTTAGCTCAACATAGCTGCCATAAACTGGGATTTTTATCACTTGGGTGCCTGCTTCAGATTTCATTCGGGTGTGTGGGGGGGATTAAAAAAGATTCAAGCCCAAGAATTGTTTTGCCAACTAATGAAATTATTCATTTAGTCCAGAGGCAACTTCAGTTTCAGGTACCATTATTAGTGCTGCATTAGCAGAAAGTGAACCTGTAAGAAAGTGATTCAGCCTTTTCCAAGCTGCAGGCACAGCTCAGCGGGGGGGGGGGGGGGGCAAAATAGGCTGGCCAAGGATCCACGGTGAATGAAGATCAAATATTTATTAATTTAGCAGAAGGCAAGACAGAGGGAGCAGGCTGATGTTAGGACACCAGAGGGAGGAGAATATAGAAGACCTTCCCCAAAGGCCATGAGAGGCATTCCAGGCTCAACACAGCAGCCAAATGGAGCTGCTGATGAGAAAGCCCCACACTGAAGGTCATTCAAGCCCAGCTGGGGAAACAGGGCAGGTGAAGCTGAACCCCACAAGGGATCCACCAGGGAACAGATCATTACTCTCAGGCTCAGAGGGCACCTGAACTAGATGCAATACCTCATGGCCAGAAAAAATGTAAAGACTGCACAAGGAAACATCTGGTAGACCTATGAGAAGAAGAAGAGAAGAAATTGGATTCACAACCCAAAGGTGTGAATTGGAAATTGGATTCACAACTCAAAGGTGTCTCAGAGCAGCTTACAAACTCCTTTCCCTTCCCCTCCCCACAACAGACACCCTGTGAGGTGGGTGGGGCTGAGAGAGCGCTGACAGAAACTGCTCTTTTTCAAGAACAGCTGTGCCAGAACAATGGCTTGCCCAAGGTCATCCAGCCAGGTGCAAGTGGAGGAGTGGGGAATCAAACCCGGTTCTCCCAGATTAGAGTCTGCGCACTTAACCCCTACACCAAACTCCCCACTTGTGGACACCTGTGGCATGCTGGTTGCAGAAGGGATTTCATGGTGATCAGGCTGAAGTACTAATGCAAAACAAGCAAGCATTTGCAAGCCTGTACAGGGGCGAGGCCTGGGTCTGCCTTATAGATGCAACAATCAAGGCCAACAAACAAGAAACAGGAATTAAGGCTTTACAGTAAGCATTTGTCTATGTTCCAAAAGGCTGAGAAACCAAAAATCTCAACTTGTACGTGGGATATGAGCACGACACTTTCAAACTTGATCAGCAGAGACAGAGGCAAAAATTGTGTAGTATTTAAAAATCGTAATGAACATTTCCCCAAAGATGGAGCTTGTTGACTAGATTCTCAGAAATCTAACAGTACTCAAAGAAACGCAGATTAAGATCTCAGTTAACTGTACATGTTGTATGCCTGGCTATGTGACAGCACTGAAACCATGTCTGTTAGCAGAAGGCTCATTGTACAAATCAGTCTAAGAGGTGGGATTGGGGGCCTAGAAACTTTAGATTTTAAGTCTACAACAAACTATTTCCCAAGTCAAAATGAAAATCATGTTCACAAAGGAGCTTCAGGTGCTCCCTGGAGGGTACACCCCAGATGGTGTGAGAAAGTGTCACAGGGAAAGACAGACTTGGATGCCCTCTCCCCATAGTTCAAACCCAACATGGTCCTACACTAATCCCACTCATCATTCACTGGCTCCTCAGTTAAACATTGTGCATGCTGATGCTAGGACAGCTGCTGCCAATTCATGACACTCAAACCATCTGGACATGCCCCCCCCCCCAGTACATACTGGCCTTCCCACACAGAAGTGCCAAGAACCAAGGACCTATGCAGCTGCTAAGAAAAGATGAGAATGGGTTCTTAGTGTCACCCTCATGTTACTTTGGCTGTGAGACTCAGTTCATTGAATCTTCATGGTGAGCTGGTGAAGTACAGAGGTTAACTGTGGTCCAAGAGATTGCCTCTTCCATCCATTTGCCAAGCAGGCGTCCCATTTACCCACCCAGGGTGGGGATTTACCTGCTCCGAACTCCAATGTCCTGTACCCAAGGAGCTGAGGAGTGGGAGGGAAAAAACAGCCTGCACATAGTGATGTTCTAGAAGAGTCCACAGAGGCTAGGGGAGGCAGCCTAGAGTGTCACCCAGGAGTGACATCACATGCTTCCCCAATCCCACCTTCCTCAAGCACTGCCTCCCTAATTGCCCAGCATTTGCTAAAGCAGTGCTGGAAACCCTATTGCTAAGTAGCTTTTGGCAAGCTACTCTCAGCCCCACCTCTATAAACTGGCATAATACTGGCCTATCTTACAGGGATGCTGTAAAGAATACATGACAACTGAGCACTGAACAAGGAAAATGCAAGATAATTGTTAATAACTGTCTTCACGGCATTTGACTTCATGGTGAATAGAGGTGGTGAAGAACTGATACATGCCAGCCCAGATGCTAGCTTGATCCAGCCACAGTGACGGACTAGCAAAACCTTCAGAACTACAAGTGCCTCATCTATAGGCTACTTTGTTTTGCATCTGGGCTTGCAACTTTTGTTGATGGCAACATTTGGAAAGGCCCTAAACACTGTAAACCATTTTGGCTCACTTAGGATGAGTGGAGAAATGTATTTCTACCCACCCATCCCTCAATGGTAAAATGAGGAATTATAACATAGGTACTCAAGAGTAGAAGCAAAACCTCTCAAGTTCTTCATGCGGAACCCCAGTTGGCAAAATGACAACAGTAACTCCAGGAGAGTACAGTGTGGTAAAGCTTCTTTTTGCTTCCTCTTTCAGCCTCCTGGTGAGAAAGCCTTCCTAGCTTTAGGATAAGCAGGGTGCTCAGCTATCATACATATATCCACTGCCATTTTTACTGCACCCTTCTTGGCAATCAGTTCACATCTGGATCTTCAGTTTTCCCTTCAAGCCTAACCAACAGGTGAATACAGCAAGTGCCCCGATCTGCCCCCTTGTGCTGAACAGAGGATGGTAAGGGTTCAGCACTGTTCTAAGGTGGGCCCGTAGATCCCAAGAGTGTGGCTAGCGAGTAATCTCTTATGTTAAAACAATGGCAGCAGGCAGTGTTTTTTGTGTTCGAGGACACAGGTAGCCAAGTAGGGAATGTACAAGCAATGGTTGCAGGACCCTAAAAGTATCCAAAAAACCGATGCAATCACAGCACAGCTCATGCCCTCCCACCAGTAGGCAACACTACTCAATTTGACTTCTGTATTAGGATAAAGTGGAGGAGAGACACAAGCTGCGCTGGGTCCTCACTGGGGAGAAAAGTGGGGCATAGATGAAGGACCATTACATTTTTCTTTCATTCTCTCTGCCTTACAAGAAGCACATGCATTCCAAGTAATGCTTGAGTCAGATCCAAACTTCTGCTTGCTTTTATGCTTTGAGTGTTTGCTCCAACTTCAAAGCTGTTTTGCACACAACAGCACCATCTAATCTAAGTTTGAATGAACTGCCAGCTGTGATGCCACTCGTGAAATACTGCTGTTCTGTCGGGAAGACCTATATAGAGTTTGCTTTTCGGTACTAGCAATGGAAGTTTCGTTTCTCTCTAGCTCATCAATCTATCCCTTGACAGGTCATGTAACCCTTCCAGATCTATCTTAAACAAGATCAGATGTGCCTGAAAGGCAAGAAAAAGTGGTGGCAATATCATGACCTAGAAACACCGGCTGAGAAGAACGCACTCAAGGATTTCTCTTGCACGTGTACACTACCAATGGAAAAGCCAGTGCATGGCCAGTAAGCCATTCCATGGCTGAGCTTTGCTAATCATTTGTGGGCAACAGCTCAGGGACTGGATCAAACTAGGCCATAAGCCAGTCTTGAGCTAAGCATACTTAAGCATTGATTTCAATGGGTCTGTGCAGAAATGGGCTCAGGTGTGCTGACCTCACTCCAGATTATGGCTAAAGGCGTACCTTTGAACCTGAAGGATTCTTTATGCTAATACTCATCTTCTTTGAGGCAGCCTTAAATCAGACCCTATTTTAAAAATCCATGCAGATGTTTAGCTTTGATCCCTTGTCTGGCAGTTGTACTCCTCCATAGGAACCATGCCAAAAATACTGACAGGAAAACATTATATTAAAATCAGTTATAAATGACGGGGTCATGCAAACAGCCTTTTCAGTTAAAATAAATTGCTAGAGTCAACTGGGAGGGCGGCAGAGCTTAAAAGAGAGAAGCGGCACATAAGGCAAGCTTCCAGCTGCTGTCTGAATAGAGATCAGTGAGTTCATGTACAGCCTAAGCAACTTCTTTTTTGCCAAAACAGCAAATATACATAAACTACAAAAACACAAGAGGCCACTTTTGACAAACTGACATGGAAGACAACACGACTAGCCCTGCAATGCAAGCTCAAGCATTTTTCCTGAGAAGCAAGTTCCATGGTGGGATTTCCTTCATGGCAATTATATTTGCAGAGATCTTTGGGAATAAGGGCCATTGACCTCAGAGGATCCAACTTCCAAGCACACGTGCACAGAAATCAGGCCGCTAATCTAACTGTTCCTGCCAAGGAAACATTCCAAGCTGTTGATAAGTTTTAAAATATTAAGGACAAGGTAGTAGGTCAGTCTGTTGAAAGAGTCTCTACCTAATCCCAAATGACTCCACTGGCAACCAGCCGTAAACTGGCTATCAGTGCTGCGTGATGCACAGCAAGCTTACCTGATAAGACAGGCCATCTTTGCAAGGGCTTAGACCAATCTCGTCCATAGATGGAGCGCTCATCACCTCAGTCATGTCAGCTGATCTCAAATAATCAGGGCTGGAAACAAGAGGCAAAGAATAGCTTCAGCTGTTACCGTTCCTTTGAAACAACACTGTCACTGGAGCAAGCCAAAAACACAGCTTAAAAACCCAAGCTTCATACTGCCGAACAACCATTTAGGATGTCTGGCCATTTCAACCATAAACTGCTTTACAGACTTCAGAATGGAGAACCCTAAGGAGAATCTTCTAGGCACTCAAACTATGTATTAGAGTACCAGTTGGAAAGAATCTAGTGGATTACACAGCAAAGGTATCCAGTATTTTCAGAAGGAGGATTGTTAAGTATACAACATGGGCTCTATGTTGTACTGTATCAGATCATTCTCCTTCCTCCACTTTTGTTCACCCCTTACTCTTTATTTGCGCCCCCCCCATACATCAGGGTGTGCAGTTACCAGAACCCATCTCAGCCTGGGGCATCTGACCCACCTGTGGATCCCAGCACACCAAACCCCTTCCTCGAATTAACATATCAAATGTTTCCCAAAGCAGTTCAAACAAGGGTAAGATAATTGACAGCCTCATTGCCACATATTAAAAGACTAACAAGTTTGGTGTAAATTCCAGTGAGCAACCACAGCCCATTTTGTCAGATGCACAAAATGAAGACATTCTGACAAAATAGGTGTCCCGAACGTTTTTGTAGGGAACTTCAAAGAAAGACGAGCCCATGATCGCCTTAAGCCATTCCCCCCCCCCAAAAAAAAACAAACAAAGAACATTCACGGAGCAGAGTTTTTTAACACCAGTCCCAAGGACTCTGAATCTGATGTATTCATCCTGCAACTTCACTTCAGGGATTTCCATGCCTATGGTTTAAATCTAGCATTTCCAGCATAATTCATTGTGAAAGCCAAGGCCAATTTGCATATATAGCCAAGAGCATCCCCATTTTAGAATATGCTAATATTATTTCCATTTCCAGCCACAATACCTTGAACTTGCCTCGCATCCATTCACTTTTCACATTGAAAAGAAGTGTTATGGTTTAGGCTGCTCTGACACAGCTTCTCAGGTTTATTGCACAAAG